GTAGCGCGCAACTACAGCGTCGTACAAGGTCTGAGCACTCTTGTACTGACTAAAGTGCGCACGCTCAGAGGTAGGGAGGTGGCGACGCACAGCAAGACGTGCAGCAGCATCGCGGGTGGCCCACTGAGAGCGGATAGTGGGATCAGCATCAGCAGCAGGAGCAGGAGAGGCGCCAGAGGTGAGGTCAAAGAGAGAAAGGCCATCAGCCCTATCGCACTGTAAGAACAGCTGCAGGTCGTCTAACCAGACCTCAAAATCAATGGCGCGACCCTCAGCGTCAAAAGCTAGGACACTAGGGGTAGCCATGGCGACGACAGCGAAGCAGTGCAAGCAGTAGGGAAAGAGCTCGTAGTGACAGTGGGACTGTGCTCACCAGGCAGGGCAGGTCGTGCAGCTCTGCAGAAAGGCGGCTCGGGTGCACAGCGGCTCGGTGGCTGGGCGGCTCGGGCGCAGGGCGGCTCGGCTCCCGGGCGGCTCGGCGGCAGGGCGGCTCGGGTGCAGGGCGGCTCGGCTCCCGGGCGGCTCGGCGTGCAGGGCGGCTCGGGTCCCGGGCAGCGCGGCAACAGGGCGGCTCGGGCGTTGGGCCGCTCGGCTCCCGGGCGGTTCGGTTGCACTGCTGCCCGACTGCTGCAGGTGTGGCGGCGGGGCCGCGTAAGAGAGCCGGGGCGGGGACGCGTGAGGGCCGGCGGCGGGGCCGCGTGAGAGCCGGGGCGGGGCCGCCTCAGAGCCGGGGCGGGGCCGCTTCAGAGCCGTCGGCGGGGCCGCGTGAAAGCCGGGGTGGGGCCGCGGGAGAGTCGGCGGCGGGGCCGTAGGAGAGTCGGCGGCGGGGCCGCGTAGGAATCCGGGCGGGGCCGCACGAGAGTAGGCGGCGGGGCCGCGTAAGAGCCTGGGCGGGGCCGCGACAGAGCCGTCGGCGGGGCCGCGTGAAGGCCGGGGCGGGGTCGCGTAGGAGCCGGGGCGGGGCCGCGTGAGAGCACGCAGCGGGGCCGCGTAAAGGCCGGGGCGGGGCCGCGACAGAGTCGGCGGCAGGGCCGCGTGAGAGCCTGCGACGGGGCTGCGTAAGGGAGGGCGGCGGGGCCGCGTCAGTGGAGGCGGCTGAGCCGCAGGGGAAAAGGCGACCCGAGGGGTCGCTAAAAAAAAATCGCGCCTCGGGGCGCGCTTCGGTGGGCCCAAAAAAACGGTCCTTAGAAGGACCCGCTCTATACCATGTGAGAATAAGCGAACAGGAATGAATGAACTAGCAGTGAAATGAGTACAAGTAGGAAACCCTAGAATTGTGTACCCCCTATAGGCTAACCCACTGTAGCCTACACAAGCATAACATATATAATGTTTGACACATGACCCCTTGGTTGTCCACGCGAACCAACGTGTGGCCGTGTCGAAGACGGTCCATGAAGGTGCGTAGCGCCCAAAACACGCCTCCAAACTCGCGTCCCGTACTGGAGGTTGTCCACAGATTGTCGGACATGCCAGCGCTTGCGTTGCTCGGTGTTCCATGAAAGGTAGAGAGGGTGGCACCCCAGCTGTGCGCGCTAGCGTCCACCTGGATGATGGCGTTGTAGTGATGCGGATGGTGGAATGGTGCACCGTTGTAACGGTCGAACTGTTCCATCCAGAAGCGCAGCTCATGGATGGCCTCTGTTGACAACGACACCTTCGAGTGCCATGAGGGCGCGTTGTTGATAAGTTGCAACAGCTCGTGGCTGAAGGCTCGTGCGGTTGCGCCCAAAGCGAGGCTCATGGAAGCAAGCATTCCAGTCACTCGAGCGATTTGACGAATGTTCACTTCGTGACCAGCGCATCCGGAATTGATGAGACTTGTAATTGTAGCTCGTAACAGGGAGCGCCGTTCTTCTCCGACCGAGAATTTGCCGACTTGTGTGTTCAACTCGAGTCCAAGGAAGCGAAGCTCCTATGTGGGGACCAGACGTGACTTTTTCTCGTTGATTACGATGCCCTAGTCCCTTGAGAAAACTAGAACGAGAATAAAATGACTAAGGGAAAGTTGGGTACAAGTACAAACCCTAGAAAGCTGTACCCCATATGTGCTACCCCACTATAACCTACAGTAGCTATGTCATATAAATCTGACACACCCCCATAGGCAAAGTGGGGGAGAACAAGGGGTCACAAGACCGGTCAAGCAAAGCAAAGCAAGCTCAGGGTGGATCACAAAGTCACCACACATTCCGAGCACAAGTTCAAGGCCACAAGGCCAGTTCACATGCAGGATTACATATATATATATATATATATAAGGCTAAACAAGCAAGAGCAGGTGTATATATATATGCAACAGTACAAACAACGTCAAGGGGTGGGCAAGTGAGGCAAGGTAGGCTCAAGACCCAGCTGAGTACAGAAGCGCTAATGATCACAAGGCGCAAGTGCCTTGGTGAAGATATCAGCAGTGTTGGCCTCAGAGGCCACGTACGCAAGGCGTAGCCGACCACGCTGTTGTAGCTCACGAGCAAGGAAGTAGCGGAGAGCAATGTGCTTCGTTCTGTGCTCCAGTCTTTGCTCTCGACACAAGGCCAGCATGGCCTGTTGTCTACGTACAGCACTGGAGGAGAACGAGGCGGCTCTCCGAGGCCAGTCAGCAGGTAGGTGAGCCAGCGAAGCTCCTGTGCAGCCATGGCCCCGGCGTAGATCTCAGCCTCACAACTGGAGCCGAGAACAGAAGACGAGCGGGTAGCCCGCCACGAGACAGAGCCGGAACCAAGGCTGAAGGTGTAACCCTATGACGATCGCTGCGTAGCCTGGTCGTCAGCCCAAGAAGCGTCTGCGTGCCCAGTGAGGACCACTGGACTCTGCCCTCCAAGCACAAGCCCCATGCCCGACGTACTGCACAAGTAGCGCAACACCCTCTTCGTTGTAGCCATGTGCTCCGGTCTGTATCTCCCAGGAGCAACATAGCGTGCTAGAATGCTAAGAGGGTATGCAAGGTCACGTCGTGTGCAGGTCATCAGGTACATGAGGCAGCCAACAAGCTCTGGGTACGGGCCACTCGACTCTACCGACTCATCCGAAGGCAGAGCTGAGAGCAAGTGGCGAGTAGGCAGAGGAGTGGCCTGAGGCGAGGAGTACGTGAAGCCGAAGCGCTGAAGGACCTGCTGCACCATGTGTGACTGAGTCAGGGTAATGGTGCGGCGTGCTTTGTCCCGGGTGATCTGCAAGCCAAGGTAGCTGCGCAGTTCACCCAGGTCTGTGCACGTGTGTCTCTTCTGCAGCTCCGACTTCACGTGGGCGAGTCTAGCAGTGTCAACTGTGGCAAAGACCAAGTCGTCGACGTACACGAGGATGTAGAACGGTGGCAGAGAGGTGTCGGTGCGTAGAAATAGCGACGGGTCAGCAGTAGAGGGAGCAAACCCAAGAGCCGCAAGCGTAGTCCTCAGTGTGTTGTGCCACTCGCGCGGTGTCTGGCGGAGACCGTAGACTGGCGGTCAGAGGCTCCACTGGGTGCCAGGAGGAAAGTCCAAGTGAAGCCAGGTGGACGGCGCAACCAGATCTCCTCGTGCAGGCTACCCTGCAGGAAAGCAGTGCTGAAGTCAAGGGAGTGAAGCTCGTAGTCACGCTGAGCGGCTACGTGTAGCAGCACCCGAAGAGTGGTCATCTTCGGGGTGGGAGAGAAGGTCTGAAAGTAGTCAACTCCCTGCCGCTGGCTGAAGCCACGAGCCACGTACCGGGCCTTGAAGACAGGTGGAGAGCCCGGCGGCCGCTTCACCCTGAAGATCCACATGCCACTGACGATGTTCGCCCCAGGAGGGGGAACCGTGTCAACGTAGGTGCCTGTGGACTTCCAGGAAGCCATCTCTGCATCCATAGCTGCCTGCCACTAAGAGGAGTAGGGACCCTCTACGGCCTCCGCGTAAGAGCGCGGAGTCGGGATGTCTAGTGCATCCGGGTCTCCCTCAGGGGTAAGTAGTACGGACGTGAGATGAGGTGAAGCAGCAGCCAGACACTGGAACTCCTCCTGCCTGTCCTCAAGGACGTCCGTGCAAAGAGCACACTCACCCCCGACGGACGGAGGACAGACAGACTAAGACACAGCGACAAGACTAGCAGCGTAGTCTAGACGACAGCGAGCAGCAAAGTCGACGAGCTCAGTAACTAGGGCAGACGCAGCAGTGGACTCAAAGGAAGGGTCAGTGACGTCAGAAGCAAGGAGACGCGTGACAGTAGGACTAGCAACACAAAGAGATTCCGACTCCGGGTCGGCAAGAGCAAGAAGAGAGGACTCAGGATGAGAAGGCAAAGGGGCACGCAGAGGAGAAGTGGACGGACGCAGAGACATCCATTGCGTACCAGGGACAGGAGGAAGACGCTGACGCGAACCACGACCACTAGTGCGAGCAGGAAGAACAGGCGACGTAGGACGAGACGCAGGCTCACGACGCTCAGCAAGACCTCCAGTAGGACTAGTGTAGGGAGAAGGAGCAGGTGGTTGGGAGACCGGCTGTAACTGTGACGGGACAGGCTCTGGACACACTAAGGGAGGTGAAGGACCAGTAGAAGGCGGGAGACCAAGAACCTGCTGAAGGAGCGGAACGAAGTACGGCCGAGGCCGCGCGGCGACTACAGACACAGCAGGGATAGCACCAGTACCCCTAGCGGCAGCACCAGCGCCAGCAGCACCTCCAGCTCCAGTACCTCGAGCAGCACCAGTAGCACCAGTAGCACCCCCACCAGGACCGCCTCCAGGACCGTCAGCAGTAGCCTCAGCGCCAACACCCTCAGCAGCTCCAGCTCCAGTCGTACCCGCAGGCCCAGCAGCTCTTGTACTCCCAGTACGAGCACCTCCGGGACCCGCGGTAGCAGCACCCTCAGCAGCCGAAGAGCCTCCAGCTCCAGCAGCACGCCTCCAGCGCCGGGCAAACCACTCGCGCAGCTCCTATGGAGAGAGTGACTCCCTCTCAGACGAAGCACCCGGAGAACCTCCATGCTCAGCACCGCCAGACGACATACGAGCAGGCCCAGCTCCCTCAGGCTCCGCACCCCTAGGCTTAGCACCCCCACGCGTAGCACCCCCAGTCTCAGCACCCCCAGGCTCAGCACCCCCAGTGGTAGCACCCCCAAGCTCAGCACCCCCAGGCTCAGCACCCCCAGTAGTAGCACCCTCAGGCTCAGCACCCCCAGGCGTAGCACCCACACGCTCAGCACCCCCAGTAGTAGCACCCTCAGGCTCAGCACCCCCAGGCATAGCACCCACATGCTCAGCACCCCCAGAGTCAGCACCCCCAGGCTCAGCACCCTCAGCAGCACTAGAGTCACCAGTAACCTCGACAGGCTCAACTACGTGTACCTGGGACACACCTGAAGGGGCAGGACCTTGAGGGGAGAGGGGGTCTACCGGGGCGGGACCTGGCATAAGGAAGAGGGGTGGTGGGGGGAGGGACGGAGTGCGGTTGGGGAAGAGGCGGTAGTAGGGGACCGACTCGTCAAACATGACGTCCTGGGAGGACACAACACGGCGAGAGGTGGGGTGGTAGAACTGCCACCCTGGCGCGTCAGGGTGGAAGCCAAGGAAGACGCAAGGAGCAGCACCCGGGGACAGCTTGTCCGCAGACAAGTTGCAGACAAATGCCCGAGATCCCCAGACACGGAACGCAGACGCATCGCCAACCTTCCCTGTCTACAGTAAGGCTGGGGAGGTTTCCGGCATGGAGACCCTTGGGTGAAGGTTGATCTGATGCGCCGCGTACCGAACTGCAAACGGCCACAAAAAATGGGGGGCAGCCGCATGCATCATGGACGTACGTGCGACGTCCATGACCATGCCAATGCGGCGCTGAGCAATCCCATTTCGCTGTGGAGAGTCCGGAAGCGTGAAGGTCTGGCGGATGCCTCGTGCACGACAGTAGGCTCGCAGAAGGCCAGAGGAGAACTCTCCGCCTCTGTTAGAGTGCAGACGCAGAACAGGAAAGTCCGACCCGAAGCTCTGCTTGAGCTGGACACGAGCTGCGCGGATCCAGTCGATCAACACCTCAGTGACATCACCCTTGCTGCGCAAGGGGAAGACTCTGGTGTAACGCGAGTAGTCGTCAACCACCAGCAGGAAGTAGCGCTCGTGACCCTGTCCACGGACGCGGGCCGGGCCCCACACGTCCATGTGGAGCGTCTACAGCGGAGCCTCTGTCGGAGGAAACTGGGAGGAGTGAGGGGCAGCCCGCTGCCGCCTCTCGACACAGGGGACGCAGGTAGGGCCAGGCCCCGAAGGAAGGGGAGGGAGGGATCGGGGAAGACCAGAGACAAGGACACGGGAGGCCATGCCTCGGAGACAAAGCAGGGAGGGGTGACCAAGGCGGTGGTGCCAGAGGAGGGTCTCGTGAGATAGGAGGCGACACGAACAGGGGGCAGACTCAGGACCAGACCTGGACGCTGCAGCAAACACCTGACGCGACGCAGCTACTTGACCAAACGCAGTGAATGGAGGAGACGCAGTGGTCAGTGTCTACAGGCTCGACCCCGGCCGACGTGTAAACTTGGCCAGGTGTCGTCTTGTCCGACCGTCCGTGCAGTGGGTCACCCGCTGACTCGCAGGAGTGAACTGGTGAACCCCCGCATCCTGTAGGGCAGCACCACTCACCAAGTTCGTAGAGAACGAGGGGAGGTAAAGACCAGATAGGGTGCCAGAGGGGGCCGCCGGACACGGGAGGACAGTGGAGAAGTGAGCAAGGACAGGACTGCGAGAGGGGTCCGCCAGAGAGACTGCAACTGGCCGGCCAAGCGGCGTGAGTGTGGTGCGGTCTCGAAAGGAGTGAGAAGCCCCCGAGTCAAGGGTGAAGGTGTGGGAGGCCGAAGCTGACGTAGTACCTGAGAGAGCAGACTCACCAGCACCTGAGGGAGCAGACGCACAAGCACCTAGAGCAGCAGCCTCGCTAGCACCTAGAGCAGCAGCCTCACCAGTACCTAGAGCAGCAGTCTCAATGCCCGGGTCGGGCGCAAAACACCGGTAACAGTCACCCTCCTCACTTATAGGCACAGGATACATGGCAGCAAGAATAGCATCCAAGTCAAGGACAAAGATAGCTACTCCCGCCCTAGATAGCTCGCCCCAGCAAGGGATCTCAGTGGGCTCCGGAAACTGGTGACGCCAAGCGTCCGTCAGGCGGCCAAAGCAGCGCTGGGTGGGGTGTGCACCCCCGCACCGCTCACCCGCGCGGTCGTTGGTGCGTAGGACGTAGGTGCACAGACCTATACCCCCACCCCGCAGGCGCGCAGCGTACCACTCACGGAGCTGCTGAGGGGGGGGGATGTCACGAGTGCGCTGCTGCTGCAGCTGCTGGCGCTGACCACCACCGAAGCCGACCCTCTGCGCAGCGCCACCCCGACCTGCTCCACCTCCTCCACCGCCGCCTCCTCCACCGCTGCCACCTCCTCCACTTCCGCTCCCACCGCCACCGCCGCCGCCGCCGCCTCCGCCTCCACTGCCGCCATCGACACCTCCACACCCGCCACCACCCCTACCGCCACCCCCACCCCCTCCGCCGCCTCCACCGCCTCCTCCACCGCCCCCGCTAGCTCCTCCAGCGCCCCTGCCCCCCTTGCCCTTGCCAGGGCGGCGTCTCCCGCTAGGGGTAGACGCAGCACCGACCGACTCAAGACCTACGAGGCCGGCCGCAGCAGCAGAGGCAACAGAGGGCAAAAGGGGGGAGGGGGAGCACCCCTCAAAGATGGGGGTGCGAGGGTCACCACGAGAGGCTCCTACAGCGACTATGCTCTTCTCTGCTGCTTGGACGGCCTTCTCAAGGAGGTCAACGGTGAGACTGGTGGGGCAAACTGAGAGAAAGTGGTCCCGAACTACGCGAAGGGAGTCAGGGAGCCGGGTGACTATGTAGTAGAGGGTGATGTACATGGGGGGGGGGTTCTTGGCGCAGAACTCAGCAGGAAGCGCAGCGCGGTAGCGAGTGTCACTAGTGCGGAGGTGCGTAATGAGGTCAGTGACTGTGGGAAAGGCAGCAAGGTCAGGGAAGAGGTACGGTAGCATGAGGCGGCTCAGTGCAGCAGTGGCAGGGGAGGAGTAGCGTGCAACTAGAGCGTCGTACAGGGTCTGAGCACTCTTGTACTGGCTAATGTGCGCATGCTCAGAGGTAGGCAGGTGGCGATGCACAGCAAGACGTGCAGCAGCATCGCGTGTGGCCCACTATGAGCGAACAGTGGCGTTGGCATCAGCAGCAGGGGCAGGAGAGGCGCCAGAGGTGAGGTCAAAGAGGGAGAGACCGTCTGCCCTATTGCACTGTAGGAAAAGCTGCAGGTCATCTACCCAGACGTCAAAGTCAATGGCCCGACCCTCAGCGTCAAAAGCGAGGACACTAGGGGTAGCCATGACAGAAGTAGACCAGCAGCGCGAACAGTAGGGTAAGGGCAGTGCAGTGACAGAGGCGCTGCTCTTACCGGACAGGGCGGCTCGGGCGGCCCGGCGGCTTGGCAACTTGGCGGCTCCGGCGGCTCGGGTGGCTCGGTGGTACGGCGGGTCGGCAGCAAGTGCGGCTCGGCAACTCGGCGGCTCGGGCGGCTCGGCGGTACGGCGGCTTGGTAGCTCGGCGGCTCGGGCGGCTCGGGCGGCTCGGCGGTACGGCGGCTCGGGAGCAGCTGCAGATCGGCGGCTCGGCAACCCGGCACCTTGGGCGGCTCAGGTGACGCGGCGGCTCGGGCGGCTCGGGTGGATCGGGCGGCTCGGCAGCAGCTCGGCGGCGCCGGCTGCTCGGTGGTGACGGGGGCTTCGCGTGGGGACGGCGGCGGGGCCGGGTGGAGCGGCGGCGGGGCCGGGTGGAGCGGCGTCGGGGCCGTGTGGGGCAGCTCCGAGGCCGCAGGGGTAGGCGACGGGGCCAGCAGAGGCGGCGCCGAGGCTGGGAAGGGCGGCGCCGGGGCCGCAGGGGTAGGCGACGGGGCCGCTAGGGCGGCTAGGAGGTGGGGGGTCGCGAGGGCGGCTTGAAAGGGCCGCGAGGGCGGCGCGACGCAACGGAGCCGCGAGGGCGGCGGATCGGGGCCGCGAGGGCGGCGCGACGCGGCCGCTAGGGCGGCGCGACGTGGCGCGGCCACTAGGGCAGCGCGACGGGGCCGCGAGAGGCCGTGAGAGGGGAGACCCACGGAGCGCGACTCGGGTAGGAACTGAGCGCGCTCCGGGCAGGAAAAAAAAGAATCGAATCGGTGGGCCCTAGGAACAGTTCCCACGAGGGAACCTTCTCGATACCATGAGAAAACTAGAACGAGAATGAAATGACTAAGGGAAAGTTGGGTACAAGTACAAACCCTAGAAAGCTGTACCCCATATGTGCTACCCCACTATCGCCTACAGTAGCTATGTTATATATATGTGACATCCCTCAGGTCCCTTACGATTTGTGCGCATGTGGCCCCCGCTTGTTGTGCGGTCTCTACCAGGATCAGTATATCATCCACATAGAGGATAACCCGCCAACCGAGAGATCTCCATCTTTGGGCCAACTGTTTGATGAGCTGCGTGAAGACGAAAGGGGTTGTGGTCAGACCGAATGGCAGGGATTGGAAGAAGTAGTAGTTGCCTTCAACTTGGAATCCTAAGTACTTCCAGCAGGTGGGATGGATGTCCACGTGATGATACCCTGACTTGAGATCAACCGATAGCATCCAGTTGTTCGGCTTGATCAACTCTGCTACCCGCGCGAGGCCTTCGTACTTGAATTTAGGAATGCACAAGTGATCGTTGACCTTCCGCAGGTCGAGGATGAGCCGACATTTTTCTCGCTGTTCGACCACATTGAGTGGGCTAATGCATATTAGTGTTGATCGGTCAGGAGCTTTTGCCGCTGCTCCTGTTCGCAGGAGGTCCTGAATGGCATCGCGTGTGAAATCCGATTGTGTCTGGGCGCCTGCGTGGTTTTTCCTTTCGAAAGGTGCTGGGGGTCCATTCTTCCATAGGAACCAATATCCGTGTGAGATAATGGACAGGATGAGGCTACTATCGCACCAGGAGCGCCACCAGTGTAGTGCTTGGTGGAGCCGTCCGCGCATTATAAACACTGTCTTGCCGATTACCGCGTATTCGTACGTTGAGAGCGACGTCCCGATCCAACGGTTGTCTATTTCTGCATGGGGTTTTCATGCACAATCGGCTATCCCACAACATTAGCGCGTGCGTGAGCGGTTGAGTCACAGCAGGTCGCGCTCTTGGGCGCCGTGCCTTTGCACGAGTGCAACCACGTGTGTAGATGTGTGTGTGCCTTGTGTTATGTGTGTTGGTGTGTGTGTGCCTCTCTGTGTGTGTATGTGTGTATATGTGCGTGTGGGAGTATGTGTGTGTGTGTGGGTGAGTGGGTGGGTGTGCGTGTACGTGCATGTGTGTGTGCATGTGAATGTTTCTCTCTCTCTCTCTCTCTCTCTCTCTCTCTCTCTCTCTCTCTCTCTCTCTCTCTCTCTCTCTCTCTTTCTCTCTCTAATGGTCCGTACATTGATATGGCAGAAAGATAGACACATACAGGTTCAGAATCATGCAAGCTCTAAACTAACCCCTCTAGAGTTCCACCAGTGGCTCCAAAACAGCAAAACAATCCCCTAGGTGTAGTTCATGTCCAATCCCCCCCACCGGGGGGTTCTCAGCTGCTGCTGCCTCACCCAATTTCATGAGGAGGCCCACCGACTGTGCTCTCTGAAGAGCAGCTGACCACCGCTGCCTGAACTGATGCAGAAACTTAGTGGCATGATAGGAGTTAGAATCGGCGTTGAAGTGGCGCCGAGCCGCCGTGTCTGCTAGGAGTTTAAGGAAGACGGGGACCTCTGCACATGGGCAGCCATAGTTCTCCACCGCCAGTGGAAAGAAGCCGACTGTCTCTGGTCTATTTGCATAGTGTTGAATCTTCTTGTCTGCAACCTCTCTGGCCGCCCATCCATTGCCTTTCAGCGCCTCCGGGTCCCGAGTGCTGATGGGGTCTGTCACAGTTACATCACACACCCAAACCGCTCCGCTGCTCCTGTCGGTCATAGTGAAATCGGCCGTCTGCTCATCGATGGGACAATGGGCTGCCGACTCGCTGTGGACTATGAAACCCGCATCCTGCGCCATACTGATGCAAGCATCCCGGAGCTCGTTGTGGGTGTTGATGCGATGCTTGCCGGTTCCGCATCGGAGGAGATGGTTTGGGAGGCGGGGATTTGTAATTTCGGTGTGGTCCGAGCAGTCACAGTTTTTGGGGGTGGAGAAGGGCAACCCAAGCGTGAATCGGACGGCATTGGGAAAGTGTGCCGGTCCTATGTGCCTCGTCGCCTCGATAGGTATCGCCGTCAGCCAGTCCCCTGTGCCATAGCCCGTTAGAGAAAACATTTGCTGCGTATGGCCCGCAAGCGGATTCAGCTCCATGTCTCTCGTCGCCTGTACTTGCACGGCGTAGCGGCTACCGTGGACTTGTAGGGCGAGGGCATGCTGTAGCTTGACATCCGCCTGCTTAATTCGTTTCCGGTCTAGCAGCTCTCGCGCGTCAGAAGGCAGGGCGGTTTCGCATTCGGCGAGCCAGGAGTGAAGCGGTGTGCTCTCGTCCCTAGGCAGGAGCATATGGCGGCGCGCGTGAGATAGTGCGGAGTCTAGGTCTAGCGTGAGCGCGGAGAAGAGCAGCGCCGCCTGCGTGAAGCTCACGACGAAACCGTAAACTCCCTCGACGAGGGGGTCTGTAATGCCTATTCCACCAAGAGAGGGGGGCAAGGACGCCTGAGCCCAGACCCGTGACAGCTCTGCTCTGCCCGCTGGAGCGCGAATGTTGCACGAGGTGAGTAGTGCCAAGAGGAGGTCACGGCCCCACTCAGTCCATGTATCCCGGGAGACGAGATTGAGGGGGGTTGTTCGGGTGAGATACGCCACGCGCCGGGAGATGCAGCGCGTGATCAGCAGCGAGGCGACCTGTGGGTCGGCCTGCTCGATGAGTGGCAATGGTTTCACCATGTCCCTCAGCTGCCCCGCCAAGAACGTGGCTGCCCCGTCGGCCGCCCCTAGGAAACTTCCCAATAGACGGACGCCGTCCCTGCAGAACGGCACCCCTTGAGGCAGTTCAGGTGAATCGCCCGCGGCAGCGCTCCATGCGGTACACTTTTGAGGGTTGTGTTTTAACCCAGTTATTCCAACCTCATGGTGAGGTGGGTGAAGGCAGCTACAGTTGCACGTGGTTCACCCACAAATGTCACGTCGTCTGCACACGCCAAGCAAAGCACCTCAGGGTGTGCTGCTGCAGTGTCGCGAAGTGTGGGGTGGAATCCCGCCGCAAAAAGGAGTGGGCCCAGTGGATTGCTCTAGCGAACGCCTCGTTCACTTCGCAGGGGCTCGCTCGCAAAATTCGAATCCAGGTAGAGCCGCGATGGGTTACCGTAGGTCAGGCGAACCAGGGGGAGCAGCGGCGACAGGGTTGGTTCTTGTAACGCTGCTGCGATGGATTGTCGCAAAATGCTGTTGAAAGCGTTCGCAATGTCGGTCTACAGTACCAGGCTGTTGGGGTGGCCGTCCACGTACGTTCGGGCGGCATGAATTATCGCTTCCGCTCCTCCTGGCACCGCCACGCCGAACTGTAGGGGTAGGAAGTGTTCACGTGCAGCTTCGCCCATGACCAACAGCGCAGCCTTGGCAGCCAGGCGCGTCAGGCATTCGCCGATCGCGATTGGTCGGGCACCTCCTCCAAGTCTGGCCAGGGCGATGAGTCGAGATGCTGTCAGCAGGTCCGCTACCGAGGCTGGGAGGTTTCCACCCAAAATTGTGTTTACCAGGGCGTGCAGATGGGTGGAGACAGATGCATTGATTATTGCCGCGTCGCGGAGATGCTCAAATGTGGTGCCTGATGGTCCGACCCCCACGCCATTATCGCATCGCCCAAGAAGCTTCGCAAATTCAGCGTGTGAAATGCCTAGGGGACGGGTGTTGGTTGCTTGCCATGTCGGCGACTCCGTCCCTGCTGGCGGGTGTTTCTGTCGGAGTTCGGCCAGGATTTCTGCACTTGGCGTGCGGACAGGTGTTGACTCAAGCGCCAGCACGGCTCGGCGCAGACTGCCACGTTTGGCCAACCCCTCCGCTCGACTCAATACACCTGTCACGTCGGGTTGGTGACGCGGGGGTGGAGGGGTGTTGACCGCGTTTACTGCATCTTGGTAGAGCTGCATCCACTCGCCACGCTGGAAAGCCCAGAGCCGGGCCTTGATTTGCGGCCAGTTTGGGTGCTTTGGCGAAGCTTGGCGAAGGGTTAGACGCGGGAGGAAAAGAAGTAGTCGCCAGCCAGCCTCAGAATCTGGGTTTCGCGAGAGGTGGTGTAGGGGTGACAGGAGTGCCAGCGAAAATAGCTGGCACAAGTTTGGCGGTAATCGTCTTGACAGTGGCGGTTGTCAACTATCGCAGAGGGCAGAAATATCCCAGTTCGCGATGTCAGCGAACATGTCGCTCCTCTCTGCCAACTCCTCTGGCGAGAAATACTGGGGCAGCTGCGGGTTCGCGACTGACGCATGGCGAAATGACGCGGTCCGATTTTCTTCGAGCGCGGCTCGATCGCGCTGATTGCTGCCGAGTTGGATTCCCAGCCGTTGGATCAGCAACGGACGGCCCTACTTGCTCCTCTGTTTGTGCCGTGGGTAAACTGGCTGCACCTGGTCCTCTCCTTCCTGTTCCTACCCGTGTTATCTCTGCTCCATCCCCTTGTTCGTTTTCACTCTCTAGCTGTTCTTCCACGGTATAAGAGGGGTCATTTCTCTCCTCGACTTCATTAGCTGCTACCAGAGCCATTAAAGCCCGACGCCCTGCCGCCTGATACCCGTTCTCCAGTCCTCCACCTGCTCCGCTAACTGTATGGCTCCTCTCTCCCTGAGCCCCTCGTCCACGCGATGGTGATTGTCGGTGCTCCTGAGCCGACGTCAGAGCTCGCTGCCTCCTGGCTGGCAATGGTCGCCAGGCATCAGTATGAGCCCGAAAGGGAGACCACGGCGACGAAGTCCCCTCTGCCTCCGGCTCCGAAGCCCTCGACAACATCCTCTGAAAAGCTTCCTCAATCCAGACCCGCGGCTCTCCTTGTCGCGGACGCGCCTGGTTCAATTGCGACTGTAGTCGCTCAGACTCCTGCAACTGCTGCTGCTGTTCCATCTGCCCCGACTGTGCAGGCTGAACCCCAAGCGTCCCCTGCAGCACCGCCGGAGGCTGTCGCCGACCCCTCGGCACCCTTGCCTGCGGGACTTGTCGCCGCGCCTGAGTTGCCGGCTCCTGCCTCTGTCTCGTCCCCGCAGGCGGCGCCCGCCACCACTGGCGGCCCGGCCCCGTTGGTTGGGCCCCCGGTTGGGGGTCTGGCTGCATCTGTTGTGCCACCGACTGCTCGTGTGGCGTGGCAGTCTCGCCCGCCGTCACCCAGCCGGCGCCCATCTCGCCCTCATTCTCCCGCTCCCCAACACGATCGTCAATCCTATCGGCGCCGGCGCAATTCTCCCCGTCGCCCGCATCACCAGGCCCAGTGGCACGCGAACCACGGCGGCCGCGGTGGCTGGTGGGGTCCCCGCGGTCACGGAGGTGGTGGGGCGTACGATCCGCCCGTGAGGATGGCGGATCTGAAGCAGGCGGTGTCAACTGCGGTGCGTGAGGAGAGGGCCGCCCTGACCCAAGGCAGCTCTCACGCTGTCGTGGCACGTGCTGCTCCTCGACAGGCTGAACTTCCTGTGGGCACGCCGCCGGCTGCAACTGTCCCTCATCAGAGTCCGGCCCCGTCGGCTCCCTCTGTTGCTGCCTCTGCCCTTGTTCCTGGGTCTCGGCTTCATCTCCCGCCCGTTGCGCCTGTGGCGGGAGTTGAATTTGTGGCTGCGGGAGTGGGAGCGCAGTATCCTCATCCTGGAGTTGCTTGATTTCGTATTAAGGTGTATGAGCCTTTCGGCCCGATTTTTCTCACCCTTTTTTTTTTGTTCTTCTTCTTCTTCTTCTTCTTCTTTGCTTTGCACTGGTTGTTGCTGGTTGCCCATATTATAGTGCAGACCATCCTTGAGCCCAAGGTTGAAGTAAAAATGACAAGCACTTCCATAGGCAACTTATCATCACATAATAACCATTTCTTGCAAAAATACACAAAAGCACCAATAGCTAATGGCCCCTAGGGCTCCTCCTTGGGCCCCCTGGCCCTTAGTTCCTTAGGCTGCTCCTCAGCCTTGCACCCCCTGGTGCAGCCCCGTTATGTCCCTTTGACATAAGGGGAAAGGGCTCCGCCATTTGGTCCCTCACACTACGGGTGTGGGGCCTTGGCCTACACGTCCCCCCATGGGGCACGCGTTCGCCATGTGGCCGGGGCTGGCCGCAGCGAAAATAGGTACCCTTGAAGGTCCTTTCCTGGCAAGAGCCTTGCCCGGAGCCTTTGTTGCCGAGTTCGCCGGCGTTGAGGTCACCCCCGCGGGTGGGACGGTTGTAGGTCATGCGCGCGCGCTTCGACGCGGCCACGTCGGCCACGGCCAGCTTTTACGAACGGGAGGTCAGCACGCTCTTGGACTGGTAGAGCTGGAAGCGATCGGCCGCCTCGAAGCCCGCCTCGTCCGCCACCAAGAGCACCTCAAATCGCTTGTTAATGAGCGACTCGATTTGAGCAATGTTGGTGCGAGCGCCTTGCGCATCGCCTTGCTGGAGCTTGAACTCAATGTGCCTGAGGTGGGCCTGGATAGCAGAGAAAACCTCTGCCTGGTCGCGTACGCCCTTGCGGTTGACCGTGGAGTTTGCGGTTGCGGGGTTGAGGGGGGGGAAGCGTAGAGCAAGAGGCATGAGTGAAAATTGGGTTGTGACGGCGAAGGGAGGCCTCACCATCGGCGTCGTCTGACTCGTCGCTGTCATCTTCGACGGGAGCGGGGGCCGGGTCCTTCTCGACGCGGGCAGTCTTGGGAGGGCGCGGTGCAACGGCGGGAGGTTCTTCTTTCTTCTTATCATATTTTGCAGAAGTTGTAGCGTCCTCATTTTTTGAAGTCCCCGCCGTAACAGGCGCGTGCTGCTGTAACAGCGCCAGTAGTGCTTGCATTTGCGCCGGGCTGAACGGGGGGTTGGGGTCGGTCGTGGCTGGCGTGTGGCTCGAGGGTGCTGGCGCGTGCTGCTTGACACGCGCGCCTGAGGGGCTCGAGGTGGTGGTCAAGACAGCCACGTCAGCGGTTGTCTTTTTCGCCACTTCGCGCGGCTGCCTGGAAGCCGCGCGAGGGGCGGAAGGCTCCTCGGAAGGCGCCGGGGAGCCTCCGCCCAGCAGGACCTTGACGCCAGTGGCGAGGTCCTCGCGTGACTCCTCGGCAGCCCGTTTCGGGCGACGGGCGGCTGTCCCGGGCAGAATGTTGGCATTCGGGGCGACGGGAGTGTCTGTCGCCTTGTTGCCCTCGCGATTAGCAGTGTTGTTCGCCGGCGCCATGGCTCCGATGTTGTGTTTAAAAATATCCGCAAGTAGAGTCGTCGGGCCAGTAAAGCGAGGGAGTGACAGCGTCTTCGTCAGACTGGACGAGATTGAAAACTCAAACTTCGAAATTGAGAAGAAGAACGTGGGTGAGGCCGAATGGCCTCAACCCCCTCTTTCGTAGCCAAAAAAGGGCGAGTAGCGATGCGACGCTGCCTTTGCTGCGTTGGCAATCGCTACACTTTCACAATACACAATTTTTGAAAAGTGTTACACACTTTAAAAAGTTTACATAATGCCATAATCAGGTCTCGTTTACTCATGCGAAGAAAAACGCTGAGAAAGAAGCTGCTCAGATCCTACGGAACAGGGTGGTGTGCTGATAAGGGCTTGGTTCGGTTTGATTCTCATCGGTCAAGATGGCTCATTGTGTTTTTGCGGCTGCTGGGCTGGGCTGGGTTGTCCGCCACGCGGCTGGCATCGCTGCGGCGAAGAGGTTTAATTTGGTGATCACCTTTGGCGAACTCGTTTGTGGCAGAAACACTCCTGAAATGCCCGAGCATCATATCGAAGTTACAGTTTATTAATTTCAAAAATCTTCACGGCTGATCAGCAGCACCCTCTCAATCAGAGATTCAGGGTGTTTTACCTTGATAACAGAACAGAGGTCCTGAGTTAATTCTTCATTGCAACAGCAACTGCATGTTATCAGAACCCAAAACTAACATATTTGCTTGCACGGCTTGAGGTGAACACAATTATTAGCATGAACTTTGATTCAATGAGGTGCACATGAAGGGGATGGAAGATAACAGGGTTGGGGCCCTTCCTCGGGTGGTACTACCAACTCCTTTTGGAGCTTTCAGCAGCAGAAGAAGAGGAAGAAGAGGGAGCAGGAGTGGTTCCAGCAGCATAGCGGGCACCAAAATCAGCAGCAGCAGAAGCAACAGCAGCAGCAGCAGCAGCAGCAGCAGCAGCAGCAGCAGCAGCAGCAGCAGCAGGAGTAGCCCAGTGTTTCCTGAGAGCGAACAGCACCCAGTGGGCCTGGGGCTCGGAGGCTGGGGGCTTTAGGAGCTGCTTCTAGGAGCTGCTTCTAGGAGCTGC